GAGTTCATCCAGCTTGTGAGGACCTTCCTCTTCTCTGATGCCCCACTCCTTTACCAAGCCTGCTCTCCTTCTCCAAGGACAGATCTCTTCTGAGAACATGCCCAAAGTACATGAGAGGCAGTCCTACCACCTGGGCCTCTAAGGAGCACTCTAGCTGTACTTCTTCCCAGCGAGATCTGTTCATTCTTTGAGCATCCATGGTACTTTGAATATTCTTTGCCAGCACCATAATTCAAATGTGTTTATATTGTAGCATAGCTAAGGTATGGTAGCTCTGCTAACTTTGCCTTCTTGGCTTTGGTCATTAAGAAAAGGAAGTTTTCACTTGCAAAGTCAACATTTGCAATCAAATAGATGAGTAAATAAAACATACCTTAAATCTTAGAGAGGAGAAAAAAGATACTGTTCCTCCTCAATATGACCGCAGGGTCAGAGAAGAGGTAGAGCAAGGGACATTGGGAGGTGGGTAGGATTTCACTAGAGGAATATTGAGAAGAAAAACCCTCCAGGCTGGAAAACAAGCAAAGGTGTACAACCAAGGAAGTATAAAACCTGTATCATTAACTGAGAGTGTTGAGCTGGCCTGGAGTTTATTTAGGAAGCACAGAGAGCGAAGAGGAAACGGAAAATATAAAAGTCGGATGGGCTCCATTAGTAGATCCTAAAGGGAGGGAGGGAGGGGAGGATGAGTAGGGGTCCAGGGGGGCCTCATGACCAGATGTGAAGAGCACTCATGACACGCAGAGGACAGATGGCCAGGTGCCATTAGTGCCGCTAATCAAGCGCTGCTGGAACCGCCTCCAGTCACACACTGAGGGGGCAGAGCAAGAAAAGGCCTGAGTTCTAGCTTGCTACCTTGTAGCTAGCTGTGTGCCTACCATTGGCTTACTTCTCTGAACCTCAATTTCTTCATGTCTGTAGAACCGTTCTCTATAGGGTTTTCAACATCGAGGATTTGGGGGGTTTTGTTTTTGAATAAGACCACCAGGTCTTTCTTTCAAGCTACCTTTCAATGAATAGCCAACTGCTTTTGTACCGCCCAGCAGCTCCCACTGATCACAGGACTCACTGCATCATTACTCAGTTCTTGTTTCTCTCTGGCCAGATCAACCTGATAACTAGAATAAGAAGGATTTGTAGGGAATGGCATATTTATCCCCAATTTTTATTAGCCTTTTTTTCCTTTCACTTAAATCTGACTATTTTATACTTTATTTTTAATATCCCATTGTGTATAACACCCCAAGAGAGTTGATTCTGACGCATAGCAACTTTCTATAGAATTTCCAGGCTATAAATCTTAATGGAAGCAGATAGCCTCAACTTCCTCCTGTGGAACAGCTAGTGACTTTAAAGTTTGCGTAGGCTGCCACTTCCCCAACAGTGCTACCAGGGCACCTCCCATGGGATACAGTGTTATAAAAGCCCAAGTAGACAAAAACCTAATAGACCACTGTAAATAATGTCAGTCCCAAGTAGAACCCCCAGATGTACCCATTTTAGCAAACAAAAGGCAAATAGGCCTTAGCTCATACCAGGTGTTTCTTAAAGTGTTCCATCCCTTACGAAGGGGGATGTACAGTAATAAATCAGCTTTTCCAACAAGAGCCATTTTCTGGCTACTCGGTTATTGCTATTAGGGGCTTGTCAAGGATCATGGGAGTCTCACTTATAACTGGTGTTCAATAAAATGTATCACCAATGACTACTGACCACTGCCCAAATGATCAGAGCCGTTCACGTCCAGCTAAGACTTGCACCATGGGGCTGTGGGAGCATCCCTCTGCCACCCCTTTTTCTTGCCTCTCTCCTTCCCACATGCTCCCAGAGGTCAGTGACTGTACTTGGAGTCCTGTATCTTCAGCACCTGGTGGAGTGCTTTGGACATCCATGGAAGATAGTCCACTGATGTTGACCAACCGAGTGGAATGAATGGATGGTACACGTAGATCCTGAAATAATTTCTTTTTAATGTATTTCAACTACTCTTAATGCCTTTTTGTCCTCCTACTCTGTTTTCTCTCTCTCTCATTTCTCCTGGCCCCACAATTTTATTTCTCTGCAATATAAAACTGAGGACCTTATTCTTTTCATTAGATGCATTTCTTCTTTAATTTTCAGTCAAAGTAGTTTAAAAGAGTGTTTGCATTTTCCTCTACACAGCACCATTCTTTAACGTTGGCTTCAGGTGGTCCAGGGTAGACCTTTTTCTACCTCCAAGGATGTTTGCCATGAATCTCAGGCTCACACTGTCCTCCTCTCTTCCTCCAAGTTAGTTTTGACATTAATAAAAAAATGACACCTGGTGGTAAGAGTGCTCAATTACAAGGTTTATTGTCATTGATTTCTCTGGGACTAAACGAAAAAGATACATACAAATTCCAACAGTGCTTTAGGCCAAACAATATCATTAAAATTAGGTAAAACCTCAATCAGTTTACCAAGATACTCCAAATACTACCAAGTTCTGTTTTCTTTTCCTTAATTATCAGGAGGTTAATACATGTAGTGCCGATTTATCAATGCACATCCTTCTTCAATCACTTATCGAGGGAAATTTGGCTTTTTTTCCTTCATTTTCCTCATTCTGTTATGATTAATTTTTATTGTCTTACTTTGGGTGTTTTTATGAAAACAACACACTTTACTTTTTATTTTGCACTTCCTGTCTCTCTTACCATGTCTCCGAGACTCTCATCTTTTCCCCATGAATAGGAACTTATTTCATGGTTTACCTGACACACTTGCACTGTGTGGCATGAGGCAAAGCCTACTGGTAGGTTCTAGTGGTTGTTGGGTGCCATCAAGTCGGCTCTCACGAACAGTGACCTCAGGCACAACAGAACAAAACACTGCACAGTCCTGTGCCATCCTCATAATTGTTCCTTTACCTGTGCTCATTGGCGCAGCCACGGTGTCAGGCCATCTCGTTGAAGACCTCCCCCTCCTTCACTGACCCTCCACTTTTGCCAACCATGATGTCCTTTCAGCGGTCCATGGTACTGTCAATCTTCTTCTCCAGCACCACAATTCAAATGCATCGAGTCTTACGCGGTCTTCCTCATTCAGTGTCCAACTTTCACTTGCATTCCTTCTAGTGGCTCACCAAACCAGAAAAAATATATAAAGCAAGAACTAACACTTACTTTTACTTTATTTTCACTGATCAGGTTTTATCTCACTAAATCCTCCCGTGAGGCAGGTACTAAACTACCCCATGAGGCAGGTACTAATGTTGCCCCCACTTACCAGAGGGCGGCAATGAAACCACTCTGATAGAAAGCGGCAGAACCAAGCTGTGAACCACTGACATTGTGCAGGCCAAGGCCCTCCAGCACAGTCTCTACCCGCCTGCCTCCCTTAAGTAATGACTAAGCCCCTGCTGGGCTGTCACTTCTGGGTTGTTTTCAGTGCTTGCTTCTAAATACTTGAATTGCTTTTTGGCATTTCAGTACTGTTCCATTGTTTAGTCTCTCTGTTTTGACACCAGTAACCTCCAGCTGTTTTTCACCTTGGAATATATTTTAAAGTCTAGAAGGATGCCAACGGCTGTCTGCGTTATCCTGGGATTTGCCATCTATTCCTCTTTCGTGTACAATTACTACAGAGATCACTGCCAGTGGCCAGCAGTGCTACTGAGGCCACCTAATCCCACCCTGAGTGTGTTTGCTTTTTTCAAGGAAGTAATGATTTTACACCAAAATCCCTGCGTATAAGCCAGCTTCTGGTTTTTAGAATATATATTGATATTCTCCAGGCTTAATTTTTTTTTAATTTTAAACCAATAAATATGTAACTTTATCTAAGGCCTTGTCTAAGTTAAGTAGCAGTGACCTGCCAGTTGTTTGTGGTTTATGATAACAAGCATTCATTTCACCCTCGTGCCCACGGTGACTGAGGGTTGCCTTCATCTCTTTGCCATGACTGAAGCCTTGGTCCCCAGGCATGGGGAAGGACAGTGATGGGACCGCTCTGCTGTTGAAAGCTCAGGAGGTGCGTGTCACTTGGGCTCCCATTCCATCAGACAAAGCAACCCTCTTGACTGGGTATTCAGGATGGAGGTCTGAGCCTCTCCACGTATTCTCTTGCTGACCGCCCGTGTGAGTGTTAATGCGCAGCTTAGAGACTTCATTCCCCTCAAATCCTCAGCACAGCCCCCACGGGCTTCTCTAGACCCGAGTCATTAGCTGCGCCTGCTGGTCCTCTGTCATGGCCTCCACCAAGGCTGGCTCGCCCTTTGTTGGTTTCTGTCCAGGTCCACTTCATCAGTCCGATGTGACTCTGATTGCCTTCATTTTGCCTTCCCCCGACACACCCACACCCCTCCTCAGAACACAAGGAGACCCCTCTCCTCACAAGGGAATGCCATCCATCCATGCACGAGGCATCTGGAAGCTGAGCCAGTGCCTAGAAGAATGTCCTCTTTGAAACCATAGATTCCAGACATTCAGACCATCCTTCAGACTGTGCTGACTGACAAGACCCCTGGCACCTCATCCTAGAGACGCCTCCCATTGTCCCTGCAGTGGAGAAGGAGGCGCAGAGTTTCACCGTCTTCCTCTGACTGGTTGCTCCCTGTCTAGGTTGGTGACCAGATTGTTGAAATCAATGGGGAACCTACACAAGGCATCACACATACCCGAGCCATTGAGCTCATTCAGGCCGGCGGAAATAAAGTTCTTCTCCTTCTGAGGCCAGGAACGGGCTTGATACCTGACCATGGTAAGTCACTTAGCTCACTGGTAGCTGAGTCGTTGTGTGTGGAGAGGGGGTGGCAGACAACACAGGAAGGGTTTGGCATAGATTGGTAATTTACTAGTTATTTCCGAGGTAAACAGCAGAACCATGGGAAGCTAGTTATACAGCATAATTTATCTGACAGGATTAGGAAATACACGTCTTCAGTCCAGACTTCTGTTGGTATAGAATGAGTTTTAAGCTGATGTCAAAAGAAAGCATAGCATTTCTTTTGTTGAGAATGTCCCTTCAAACAACAAGGCCATTAAAGACAATATAAATGCCAGGGAAAACATTGTTGTTTTAGAACATCAACTCTGTGAGACCAAACGGTCAGCATTTACTTTTCTAAAAGCAGAGGGAAGAAGGCGAGGAAAGGGCCAGGAGGGGTACGGGAAGCGAGCTGGATGGAGCTCAAGGGACTGCTAAGGAAACAATGTGTCTGCAGGTGTTGGGTGGGAGCTTAATTTGCTGTGTAAATTTGCATGTAAATTAATTAGTTTTAAAAACCTCTTCAGAATATCCCAGCTTTCTCCCCTCCTTGGCTTATGATAGGTTACCAGCGAGCATATTTCCACATATTGTGAAAGTTTCTTCATGAGTCAAGGAAGAGCTTTAGTCTTTTCCAATCACTTTTCAAAGTGAGTTACTGTAGCCCAGCCTAGAGACAAGGAGCTGGACCTGGGATACTTGTCCCCTTGTAGCCAGGACCCCCTGCCCGCCCCCACCACCACACACACACACACACACACCAATCCCCCAGCCTTTGAGTGTTAAAAGTGGCCATGACCTCCTGCAGACCCCTTCCAGCCTGTGGTTCTCTGTGTTGTCTTGCACCATCTGCTTGAAAATCATGTGTGCCCAGTGACATCTTGGCTAACTGCACTGTGATCTTTTTACATAGTCCTAGGCTTTTTCTCTTCCTCCTTCAGGTTTGGCTCCTTCCGGTCTGTGCTCCTACGTGAAACCTGAGCAACATTAAGGCTTTCAGGGCTTTTCTTGGTCTTTCCTTAAAAGACTTGGTAAATTTGCATGTCTTATAAATCTTTCCTTCTTTTTTTTTTAATTAAAGTGATGCTATTAAATACATCCATCCTTATCTTCTGTACTTTTCAATTTTCTTTTAACATGAAATTTGATAGCTTAACTCAAGAAAATTATTGACAAATGCCCATAAACTTTACTCTAGTTACCTCGGTTTGGTCTTGCTTATTAAATTAGTGGTTTTGGCATATTCTTAAACTATATCCACTGGAAGTAGCTTAGTTAGTAGCTCCTTGGACCTGGTAATTTGGTCCAGCTTGATCTATTTTTTTATTTGTTATGATAAGTTTAATGTTGGGCTTTGCTACTATAACATATATTATGCATCTCTCTAGTTTTAAATATGTATGTAATTGGAAAAATGAATACTATTATTTTGTATATAAAAACTTGTACAAGTACAGATGTCTATACACATCTGCTTATATACAGGGATAAAGCATATATAAACTTAGCATATCCCTAGTCAGGCTGTTTAAGCAGGCAGTACAATTTAAATGTCTGTCAAAGTTCAGAACTTATTGTTCCTATTTCTAATTCTAAAACCGTGTTCCACTCATACTGCTTTATTATTTTTTAGGTGATTGGGATATTCATAATCCCTCGTCCTCAACTGTGATTTATGATGAGCAATCACCACTTTCCCCATCTTCACATTCTGCGTCCATATTTGAAGAGTCTCACGCGCCAGTCATTGAAGAGCCTTTCACGAGAGTTCAGATTGGCGAGAAGGCAGAAGCCCCGAAGGCCGGTGGGCCCGCAAAGCAAAGCACTTTACATGAAAAGCAGCAGAAAACCATCATGCAGAAGGAGCCGCCCAGCAGTCAGGGGTGTGGGGTGGAGAAGACCCTGGGAAGCATGGACAATGGTGTCATGCACAGAGGGAGGTCAGCTAGCCCCAAAAAGCCAGCCAGTCGCTCTTCTGAGGGACATCTGGAGATCCCAGGGCCACTGAAAAGTGACCCCAAAAGCAGGCCCCGCGACCGCTCGGTGAGCCCCCGGAAGGGGGAGACGAGGGGCTGTCAGGTGAACAGGAGAGCGGGGCCTGGACAAGACCACCGTGGCCGCAGGAGCCAAGAGCGGTCTTCCAGCCCGAGGAAGCAGAGAAAGGGGGACGGCGGCAAGTCCCCAGCAAAGGCTGCCGCCACTGTCCCCAAGGGTGAAAATCGGCGGGCAGGGGTCCGAGCTAGTGACAACGCTGAGCAGGTGCAGGACAGCAAAGAAAAACCGGGAGGCCTCAGGAAAGACACGAAGCAGAGTCAGGCTGGAAGGCACAGGGCAGGGACCCCAGAAAGGAAGAACACGCGAGCGGAGGAGAAGTCGCTCCCACCCAGAAAGACACCCGGCCCTGTGAGTGGAGAAGCCCAAGCCCCTGGGAAGGAAAAGGTGGGGGAAGCAACCTCGGAGGAATTAAGTTCGCCCCAGGAGAAGGGCAGAGGCAATGCCAGCACAGCAGACAGGAAGCTGAAGCAGGACCCCGAAGAGAGAGGGATTGTCAGCAAGGTGGACGCTCCCCGGGGGGCGGAGCTGGAGGCAGCTGACAAGAGCAGTTCTCCGGGGAAGAAAGCGCCCATAGTGCCAGGGCCCTGGAAGGTGCCAGGGGCAAACAAAGTCACAGGCACCGATGTGGCTGAGAAACGGCTCTGACCTTGGGGCAAAACCAAGAAAAACAGGTTTAATCTTTTCTTACCAAAAAGGACCTTTTTTTTTTTAAATGTGTTTTGGTTTGGTTTTCCCCTGAAATTCTTACACACACACCTGTGTGCATTTTAATTTGAGCATCAAGTTACCTGGACTGCATGAAGGGCCATTAGGATTGCTCAGAACCCTCTGTCCCCTGGCCAGCCACCACACACACTCAGGAAGGAGCAGCCGTCACCCTGTTGAGCCGCCCTCCCGCCTGCCCACCCACCCACCTGCTGAGTGTCTGCGCCCCCCATCACTCCTGTTCCTGTGCTAAGTTCTCTACCCAGCCCTGCTCTCTCAGCTCTTTCCACGGTCATGAAAAAGCCCAGTTTGGCTTGGAAGTTGATAGTCTCAATAGCATGTTGCATGTTTACAGAAATATTTGAGTCCTTGCAGAAGAAAAGATTGTTAGCTCACCATTTAAAGATGGCAGTTGCTTCCTCTAACAGCTACTGACGATGTCCCCCGTTTCTCAGTAAAACCCCCAGACATCACCACTTTGGAAAGAAAGCCATCTAGTCAAGCACTGATGTTTTCTTAGGGCGGTTTCTTTTCACTTGGCTGGCCGGCGAAGTGCTGTAAGGATCTGTTGGAGACTTGCTTACAGGGAAGGTGTACCCCAAGGAAGCGCTTGAAGCAGTAAGGGTTCGCTCGTGCTGTGTTGGCCACCTTGCCCTCTTCCCATTCTGTATTTCCTGAGGAAACCGCGAGAAAGGCCTGAGAACTACTGCTTACTGTCCTTAGAACAAAGAACGACCAAATTGCTATTTCTGGGTGTTTGGGCCACACCTACTACTAAAGGCATTAGTCTTTAATTCACAGTATTTGTTTCGAGAGTCTTACTAGTACATAGATCATGCAAGGGACCGGATCATGACACCCGTCTCAGAGCCCACGACCAGATCCAGGGTCAGCACTCCGGTGGCAGCTGCTCATGCCCGGCTGTCCAAATGCAGAACCCCAGGACAGGACTTGCTGGGTCTTCATTCATTTTGATCGCTAGCTACACCACTTCCTTGTCTCAAATTTAGAAGAGGAAACTAAAACCTCGGCTTAGTTTGTACCAATTTTCAGCGTTTTTTGTTCAAGTCTCATTAAAATATTTGTGGGAAGGTGGAAACTGGTGGTTTTTTTTTAGGTCCATCAAGGAGATCCGAGTTTTTCAGCCCCTGAAACAACAATTGGTCAGTGGCATCTACAAAGGAAAGAACGTTCTCGGAGTAAAACTGCCCTCCGCGTTCGTCCCCTGGGCCTACCTGGATGCTGGCTCCATCCCTGTAGATAGGCAAGCTTCCCCGAGGAGATTGCTGAAATCCCTTGTTCATTCAGAACTATAATCATCCACCTGTTGTAACTACTTGAATAGGGGGGAAAAATTAGGCTTGATAAATGCTATGAATTTAGTACCAAGAAATGATTTATTTTCCCAGTAGTCCACAATTAGTGATACAAATCCTATTTTTATTGTTACCTGTGACATAACATTAATGTCATATGTTGTTGGTCTGATGTGGCTCTTCCTTCAGTAACTTGTCATTGTACTAATTATATACTGACTTAGCAATGTGGCCTTGGAATGCTGAGCAAAATATGGATGTACTGGTTGTAAATGTTTATATATTGTACAGTACCTTTATATATACACTTGAGGTTCTGATTAGAGAAAGAGATCTGTAAATCGCTCGTTATTTTTTATATAGATATTAAAACAAAACAAAACAAATGTTCATGGCCTTCCTTTCTTGTGCTGTTAGATTCATTTAATGTTGCTTTCTATTTATGGAGCAAATTCCCTTCCTGGTCTGGGCCCGCACCTAGATTTTACCCCTCCACGTGACATGCATTCAAAGGCCTACAATGAGGAAACTTTTCTTAAAATGGTTTTATTGGCATATACTTCACATATCAGTCAGATGAAGAGCTGTGTGATCACCACAGTCAACGTCAGAACGTTTTCTTCTCGTGCTCATTGTTGTTAACTCCCCAGCTCCCTCCCTCCTCCTGCGCCACGCCCCAAAGTGATTCTTAATCCAGTTACTGCCTCTGTAGATTCGCCTACTCTGGATTTCATACACAGAAAATCAGATAGAACACAAACAGGAAAGCAGACCAAAATAAGACAAAACTTAGAAAAACCCCAATTAAAAAGAAAGCAGAAAATACTAAAGCCCAAAGAAACTTGAAAATGAGTCAAAGAACGTATCAAATGATACGGTATTGCATTTTAACCCAACTACATGTGCCCTATTCGACTTCACAATGCTCTCTGTCTGATAGTCTGTTCATATCCCTGAACTGTGTTCAGAGCGGATTCCTGAAAGGCTAAATCCATGTGTGGGCCCTGCAAGTGGATTTTAGGCTTCCACTGTCATCCAAAGCCTTCTGCCAACCAGGTGTTCACAATTTAAGCTCGATAACATTCCCTCATTCAGATTTGAATGTTTTATTAGTCACAATCCTTGGATCACACAGACTGTGTGCTTAAGGAGAACTCTTCCAAAGATGTGTATAGCTACACTTTTATCTGTATGTTAAAAATACAGTTAACGTATTTAAAGCTTTTCACTGCCACAAAAACAAAAAACAGGGACCTGGTAGGACAGTCTGTAGAACTTCCCATGGTGTGTTGTAGAGACTATTTACTGGAGTAGAAAGTCTCATCTTTCTCTTACAGAGCAGCCGGTGGTTTTGAACTGCTGACTCTTGAGGTTAGCAGCCCAACTCGGAATCCATTGTGCCACCAGAGCTCCTTGTAACAAAAATTAACCAAAATAATAAACTCACTGCCATCGAGTCGATACCAACTCATAGCTAGCTACCTTCTAGGGCAGGGTGGAGTTGCCCCTGTGGATTTCCAAGACTGTACAGGAGCAGAAACCCCGTCTTTCTTCTTTGGAACAGATAGTGGCTTTGAACTGCAGACCTAGCTCAGTGCCTAACCACTACAGCTCTTGGCAACAAAGCAGCTGTGCATAAATAATTGGCTGCCGGAATCCATCTTGACATTCATCTGGGAGAGAAGAAAATTTGTTTTGGTGGCCCTTCAGTCATTAGACAGTCAGAAATGGCAACCCCGTTACTAGATACTGTAATGGGTATGGTATCAGTCCACTTACCACCAAAAGCTCAAACTGCCATCCAGTCAGTTCCGACTCAGGGTGATGCTGTAGGAGAGGGCAGAATGGCCCCGCGGTCCGTTTCCAAGTCTAACTTTTTTTTTACCCCAAGACTAACTTCAGGAGCAGAAAACCTCTTCTTTCTCCCTTGGAGGTGCTGCTGGTTCGGGGCTGCTGACCATGCAGATTGCAACCCAGTGCTTAAGCACTGCACCACCAGGGCTTCCCTCTCTTACCGTAAGCTGACAAGATGTCCTTTCAGCAGACAGTGGCAAGTCACATGGTTTTTATGTGTCATTTTACTCATTCTCCAAGAGCCCTGGTGGCACAAGGATTAAGTGCTCAACTGCTAACCGAAAGGCTGGGAGTTCGAACCCGCCCATGGCTCCATGGGAGAAAGCCCAGACGGAGCGAGCTGTTCCTGTGAAGAGGGCAGCCCTGAGAACCTCGGGGGCAGTGCGACTCCGCCCCGTCATGTGTCACAGGGTGATAGATGGCTTTACAGACACAATCATGAAATCATGTGAGGCGTTCCACGATCAGTCTCAGAACATTTTCTCCTTGGACTCTGTTTTAGCTCTCGGTGTCCCCCATCCTAAGTCGCAGGGACCCTGCAGGACGGGGGAGAGCTGCCCCGTGGGTTGCGAAGATGATGGCTTCACGGGAGTAGAAAGCCACATCTGATAGCTTCAAACTGCTGACCTTGGCGTTACCACCCTAACATAACCACTGCACCAACCAGGACTCCTGCTGTGCCCTGAGGTAATTATTCATCTGGTTATTATCTCCCTAGATTTACCTGTAATCATTTTTATAATGAAGTGTTTTGATTGGACTTCTTTGTGGTTTTATTTTTTTAATCATTTTATTGGGGGCTCATACAGCTCTTATAACAATTCATACATCAGTTGTGTCAAGCACATTTGTACATATGTTTCCATCATTTCCAAAACATTTTCTTTCCACTTGAGCCCTTGGTGTCAGCTTGTCTCTTTTTGGATTTATTTTAACTCTTGGTATGAATGATGCCTAAAACCTATTTCACGGTCATGATTAACTTAATACTCGAGGGAAAATAAATTCCTACCGTGAGCTTCCACTACAAATAAAACAGAACCCTAGATCTTGGTCCCGACAGTGGAGCTCTGTGCTGAGTAAAGGCAGCCAAAAGTGACAGCAAACTGGTTTCAGGTGGTCCCCGTGGCATGCTTTCTTCCTGCACCCAGCAGGCAGCAAGGTGCCAGGGTGTTCTGCCGGGACCGCCCACACTTCCAGCTTAGGAACAGACTTTATGGGCCAGCAGCTGTGGAACAGGGCAACACCTGTGTCCTAATCTGGCTCTGTGTTTACATCCTGGTGCAATTTCTTAGTATCAGGCAATCATTACCAAAATATATTGTCATTGGTTATATATTTTTTGAATCTAAACAAAAGCCCAGGTTCTGCCAAAGTATATGGGTATATAGTATAGCATGTAAGACCTATATACTATCTATATAAGACTAGCAATGTGTTCTTGTTATGTAGCATAGTATATATAGTATAGCACGGTGGGGGTGGGGGAAAGAAACCATAAAAAAGGGAAATTTTTCATTTATAACAGAAAACGTATGAATGCTAAGTCCCTTGCAGTCCGTCCTGCAACACGACTTAGCAGCACTCTGAGTCTGAGGATGGAGGCCCCTAAGGGCTCTTTAGAGGGAGGAAGATGAGACTCTGCTCCTGTAAAGTTTGACCGTCTCAGAAACCAGCGGGGCAGCCCTCTTCTGGCCTGTGGGCTCAGGACGAGTCCGAATGGGCTTGATCTGAGTTGGAGTGCAGACCTCACCAGACGCCCCGGTGAGTGCGATGGACGGCGTGGCAGCAGATTCCCTTTGCTTTCTGAGGCTGGCACAGCTGCTCACTGCCACCAAGTCCAGTCCAGCTCCTGAGGACCCCGTCAGACAGGGTAACCACACGCCCCTGTGGGTTCTGAGGCTAACTCTTCAAGGGACTGAAAGGCTTCTTCTTTCTCCCAAGGTGTGCCTGGTGCTTTCAAACTGCTGCGACCACCCCCTCCTCACGCCCCCCCCACCCACCCCACCCCCCGGACTCCTGAGTGGGCTACATAGCACCAAATAAAACATTCTTGCCTTCAGGGCCAGACAAAACACGGGGTGGCCAGATTGTGATCAGTGCCACTGAGACACCAGGGAGCTGACAACACATAAAATGAGGGAGGGACTCTTTAAGGTCACCCGGGCAGCTCCTCAGAGGGACTGAAATCCGAACTGAGAGTTGAAAGATGAGCAGAGGAGCAGCCAGCCAGGGAAGATCTTAAAAAAAAACTATTCCCGGCAGAAATAAAGCCAGCTTGTACCACAACCTGAGATGAGAAAGCTCCTGTAGTGAACAAAGGGGGAGGCCTGTGTGGCTGGAAGGCAGGCCTGCCCGCCCAAGAAGGGCTTCCCAGATCATCTCGGGACCAGGAAGTGTAAGCAGGGGAGGGACGATGTGAGCGCCATCTCCTTATGTGAAGCTCCCTCAGACGGCTGTACAGCACTGACTGTAAGAGGCAGGGATGGAAATAGGCCCGTGGGATCCCCCAGCCATGGGGGGAGAGTGGAGGAAGCTGAGCTCAGAGTAGTAGGGGGGAGGGGGTGCAGAAGTGACACAGGTGGTGGTGGCTCCAGGACAGAGGGCAGAGAAGAAACAGAAGACTAACCTTTGGCTTGAGTGAGTGAGTCCACCTTGCCCCTTTACTAAAGTAGGGAGAACATTTCCTCTCCCACTTTAAACAATTGTGGGGGAGGACACATTGTAAGAGAAAGGATTCTAAACATTGAAGGGTAGTGGGAAAAGAAGTGACCCTGCAGATTGCCTCCGAACTTGTGGGAGGCAGTTTCCAGGCTGCAGGGCAGGGAGAGGGAAGCTCAACAGCCACATAGGCTTGCTGAGTGGAGGAGAGGGAGGAGAATTTGAGGCAATCAAGCCAGCTAGAACGTGCTGGGTAGAGTCGCAGCCGCATGGAGAGAGAGCTTCAAAGACATGCAAAGGAGTCCTTTCAAGTCATCACACAGTATTGATCAACACAAGCAGGTGTGGAAGGACAGGGAAGGAGCGGGCCTAAGATCATCAAATTGCTGGGCTCATGGGACAACAACAGCCAGGGTGGAGGGATGGCATGCTCCACACCGAGCCCCAGCAATGGCAATGACAGCAGGTTTCTGGTCAGACACAGTGTGATCCGAGGAGCCAGTGGACTACAGTTTTATACCCTGCAAAAAGCTCTCACGTGGAAAGGCAAAAACTTTTGCAACAGGTTGGGCCTCACCTTAGTAAAGGGATTTTGGATTTTCATCTTTCAAGCGATGTTGTTAGGTGCCGTTGGGTCAGTTCAGACTCAGGGCGACCCCGTGTACAACAGAGCCAAACACTGCCCGTGCCTGCAGCAGCCTCACAATTCCTGTGCCTGAGCCATGGCTGCAGCCGCTGGGTCCACCCACCCATCTTGTTGAGTGTCTTCCTCTCTTCCGCTGTCCCTACTTTACCAAGCATGATGTCCTTCTCCAGAGACTGGCTTCTCCCGACAGCATGCACAAAGTAAGACCAAGTCTCACCGTCCTCGCCTCTAAGGAGCACTCTGACTGAACTTCTTCACAACAGATATTCACCTGTTCTAGTAACCGGACGATGGACCACCCCGGTTGAGACTTGCCTTTCAGAATGGACACGTTACCTTTTTGAGAGGAAAGGATTGGGTTTGAGGGAAGTACATGCCATGAGTAGGTAAGAGCAGCAGCAGCAGAAACTCATTCAAAAATAGTATGCTGGTAAAACGTGGTAGAAGTGGGGGAGGGATGGAGAAGCGTGGTTGATCAGAGGCGATTTGGAAGAGGGCTATTAACAGGGTCGGTGGTTGATTGAAGGTACGCTATTAAGAGGAAGGGATCAATAAGGGTTCCCAAGTTATTGCAGGGGTGGTTTTTTGATCAACTGGTCCTTGTGGTGCTGTTTTTATCCTGAGAAAAACAGCTTTCATCTCCAGAAGAAAATCAAAATGCCGTGGGATTGATGCTGTGTTGGCATCCTCCCCTAAACATAGCACATCGCAGTAACCTGTCACAGGCAACATGACAGAGACTTTTGTCATGACTTTAAATACACCGACATGCTATCATTGGCTAAATTTAAACATGATTTGCCTACAGAAATTCTCTCACAGAAAACCAGCAATAACTTGAAATGCATGCCCTTCCCAATACTTCCTTTTCTCCTGTATGTTTGCTGCATTTTGCAAAATGTCAGCTCTCCAGAACGTGTCTCTGACTGCTGTGCCTGCAGTCGGTAGAGGTTTAGCTGGAATCCCGCAATTGTGGCGGCATCCTGTCACTTCAGTTTCAAGCAGCTAAATAAACAGTGCAGCTCAGAAATTGTAGCTTGGTTCTTGATGCATTTTTATTAAATTTGGGCTTTGGCTTTTGTAGTACCTTAGAGATTTCAAGTAATTTAACCTTCTGCTAAGGATGTTGAAAGAGGAAAACACCAGAGGGCAAGTGAATTACTATTTGCTTCAGGTTCTCATAAACAGTCTTTCCTGATCAAGGAGAACGAGTTTCCACAGTACTTTCACAGTGACTCTTTAAAGGAATCGAATTCTCTTTCTTTCCTTTTTAAGAATAATATTCCTTTTCAAAGGATTAAATTCTAACTACCAAAATACTCACTATAAACAACTGTTTCCGAACACAGGCAGCTAAACGAATGTTATTCTGCCTACTGATCGTGCTGGACAGCCATTTCTAACTCCGGCTACCCGCCACTGCCCACAGACCTCCTGGGCATTGTTCCTGCCGTTGCATCCGGCACTCATTCGAATCACAGACACTGTTCACATTATGGTGACGATTCTGAAAAGGAAAAGTGTTGCTAAGATTGCAATCTTCCATGTCCTTAGGCGGCATTATTTTGCCATCCAATGACAGATTGCAATTTCAAAAACCTTCAGTCTGTGTGTGAGGCAATAAAAGAGTTTGCAACTAGCCATGAAGACAATTGCAAGAGTCCGAGCAGCCTTTTGCGGAGCGGCAGCCTGGTGAGAAGAGCGAACAGTGGCCTTCCTGAAAGGACAGACACGCAGTCGGTGTGATGGTATTGAGATTTCAGTGTATTTGCTTCATTGTTTAAGAGGTCATTGTTGTATAGCAGTCAAAACAAGAGAAGTCAGATGAAGAAAACTTCTAGTCTTTATTGGGACATGCGATTCTATAAGCAACGGGAGGGAGGGGCAGGTACTTCATATAAGCATGGCTATTTGGTTTTGTCAACATTTTAAGAAAACGTGATATATATTTATACCAAGACCATGAGCTTTAGATGTAGGAAATCAGTTAATGTCTTTAGCAAATTAAAACAGTATTAAATCACAGGTACATGTTGAAAATTATAGAAACATGAAAGTGAAAGACAATGTCTGATAGGGAGTAAAAAAGATGTGAAAGTATGTATATTTTTAACATTAATCATTTGTGAAAGCATGCTTATTTTTTTAATTAAATCATTTTATTGGGGGCTTGTACACCTCCTTATCACAATCCACACATGCATCCATTGTGTCAAGCACTCCTGTATATTTGTTTCCCTCATCATTCTCAAAACATTTGCTCTCCACTTGAGCCCCTGGTATCCGCTCATTTTCCCTCGTCCTCCGTGCTCCCCTCCCCCACGAACCCTTGATAATTTATAAATTATTTTGTCATATCTTATACCGTCCGACATACCCCTTCATCCACTTCTCCACTGTCCATCGCCCAGAGTGAAGGTTATATGTAGATCCTTGTAATCTGTTCCCCCTTTCTCCCTCACCTTCCCTCCACCCTAGGATTTACTTTTCAGCATAGTCTGAAGACTCTTTGTTACTCAAATAAAAATTACAAGTATCTGTGCCTATTTTTTAAAAAGATTCCCAAGTACCTGACATGTGCAACTACACTTGCATAGAATTTTACTTCTCTCAAAAAGCATTTCAACCTTTTATATATCATCAGACCCTAACAGAAGCAACCCAGCAGAGTAAATGAGTGCGTTCTGAATACTGAATTCAAGCGAGAGGACTCACTGCGTCAATGGTCAATAAAAACAGAACATCACTTGTTTCAAAAGGGGGAAGATGAAAACATCCGCTGGCGTCATCTGGAACCTGCGTCGAGCTCAGTCTCCTGCTAGGATCTGCGAGCTGCTGTTCGCGGAAAACCCTGTGAGCGTGGTTAGTGCCCGAGTCGGCTCTGACCCTATGCACAACAGAGCACTGCGTGATCCTGCGCCCTCCTCACAAATGTCCCCAGGCCTTAGCCCATTGATGCAGCCATTGTGTCAATCCATCATCTGGAGGGCCTTGCTCTTTTCTCACTACCCCGCTTTACCAACATGCTGTCCTTCTCCAGGGACTTGTCTCTTCTGACAATATGTCCAAAGTAAGTGAGATGAAGTCTTGCCCTCCTCATTGCCTCTAAGGAGCACTCTGGCCTTACTTCCGATATAGAGGTTTGCCCTTTTTAGCAGTCTATGGTCCATCCAGTATTCTTCACCAGCACAATACAAATGCATCTGTTCTTCTACGATCTTCCTTAGCCAATGTCCAACTTTCCCATGCATATGAGGCAATGGAAAATACCATGGCTTGGGTCAGGTGCACCTTAGTCCTCAAAGTAACATCTTTGCTAACTTCAATCCTCTAGAGGCCTTGTGCAGCCAAGGTTTTGTCATGCTTGGATCCACAATCAATGCTCATGGAAATAGCAGTCAAGAGATCACAAGACAAGTTGTATTAGGTCAATCTGCTACTCAAGACACCTCTTATAGATTATTAAAGAGCAAGGATCTTACTTTGAGGACTAAGGTGCCCCTGACCCGCGTATTTTCCACTGCTTCAGACAAATGTGAAAGTTGGACACTGAATAAAGGAGAAAAATCAATGCAACTGAATGGTTGTGTTAGTGAATAGTGAGGGTACCAGGGACTGGTGTAAGGACGAACCAATCTGTCTTGGAAGATGGCTGGCCAGAATGGTCCTGAGGGGCAAGGATGGCAAGGCTTCGCCTTACAGACTTCAGACCCGTGTCAGGAGGCCAGTCTCTGGAGAGCATGGTGCTGGCTGAAGTAGAGGGGCAGGCCCTCAAGGAGATGGACAGTGTCTACAGCGAAGGAGCAGGGTGGGACCGTGTTTGTTCTGTTGCGCATGGGGTCACTATGGATCGAAACCAGCTTGATGGCACTGACAGCCACTGGCATTGTGATACAGAACAAAAAACCAAACTCACTGCCATCGAGTGGATTCTGACCACTCATCGTGACCCTCAGACAGAACCAAACGGGCCTTGTGGCTGGTTTGTAACCCTTGACAGGAGTAGAAAGCCTCCTGTTCTTCCCCCCCGTGGCCGGTGGTTTTGAACTGCTGCCTTTACTGTCAGCAGCCCAACAAGTAACCCTCTACACCTACAGTTCTCAACCTTCCTGACGCCGCGACCCTTCTTACAGTTCCTCATGTGGTGTCCCCCACCCGTAGAATTATTTTCGTTGCTACTGCATAACTCTAATTTTACTACTGTTATGAATCGGGAGACCCCTGTGAAAGGGTTGTTCGACCCCCAAGGGGTCGCGACCCATAGGGTAAGAACCGCTGCTTAAGACTGTTTCTAAATTCTCATCAAGAATTCACATAATCTTATTAAAAACGGAAAGCTTTCAATTTCCCTATCTAAACGTTTCAGAGTAGGTAATTCAATGCTATAAGTAAACAACAGTTTCCATTAACATACAAACTTCTTCAAGAAGCTTGAAGAAAAATGGAATTCATAGTGGACATTTTCCATGAATTTAATCAAGTCCCCTGTGTGCGCGTGCGCACAGAGCATGGTACTTAAAGACAGACGCTGAAGCTCTGCATTGTACTGAGCGTGACCTGTACACCGCACAGCGGACGGACACAGGGGCCCTGCTGAGTCATCAGAGTGCACTGACCTGTGCTGAAGCCACGTAGTAGGACGGGCAGGGGAGCATGGGTGGACTTAACGTTCTCATCCTGAATTGCAAGGCATATTGTATGCATGGCTCTTTATTAAGATTAACCTCGAAATGATAAGCTAATTAAAAGTTCTTGTATGGTTTAACAGAAACTTACAGTTTAAAACGTTTTATTTTTCCTTTAAGAACAACAAAAAGTCTTGAAACTGACATTGTCCAGTGGAGTTCTTTTATTTGGATTTAAGCTAGAATAGTTTAAAATGGACCTCGCTCAGCTAGAGAAACAAAATCTCCAACTCCACAGGCTCGCGATGAAAGCGTTGGGTCTGACGACTTCCAACAGAGGATCGTTGCTTTGTGTTCGGGCAGTGGCTTTGGTTACTCAAAACGAGGTCCCTGTCAAGGTGCCCGCACCCCATCGCCCAGGTTACATTTCCCCACTTCAAAAAAAGTGTTCGTCTGTGTGGCTGTAGCGCTCAGTCTTCTGACACGCTGTACGATTTTAAACCACGGCGTGCCTCCAGTATGCACCCCCAGTTGGAAGAGAGACTGGTCCTGTGGACCCCCCTTAGGTGGGTGTAGGGTACCTCTGCCCAGGACCAAGCAGGCAGATCTTGGCACTCGTCTCTGCAGCCACCTCTCTCCTGCCTGGGCATCAATGCCACCAAGGCTCCACTTAGGATTTAATCTTCCACAGCTGAGGAAGGAAAACCAGTACGAGCTGAGAAGGTCATGGTCAGGTAGGCGGGGAGGAGGGGGGTTGGCATGCTTATATAATTACAAACCAAGACTGTGCTAAGGAAAAAAGGCTATCAATTATGACAATAGAAACCACAGACCACCCTGGGGAGGGGAGTGGAGGGGAGGGTGAGAAACTCTAAAGTTCCAGCATCAAAAAGGACACAGCAATTCATGCATTCTGTTTTCATCCCTGCTGTCGCTGGCATTTCCCGAGCTCAGAGGAGAGCCTCGCCCAGCCCAAGGTATTCGATGGCATTACATTCAAACTCGACTTTCGGTTCTACTCAGGGCAGCCTATTACCCTTGTAGAATATGAGGAAACCTCAGATGGAAAGCCAGTGGACTAATGAATCCACATGCCCGTTTCTTCACCTCCAGAGTCAAGTCCACACCAAGCACCAATTCAAAGAGGAAGGGGCGTGAAGGGCAGAGAGGGTGATGCACAGTAACTTTGTACTCCAGAGCGAGAGTTGTACATACTCTTATATTACATCCCTTATACGTACTCTTATATTACATCCCTTATACTTTTCTATTACATCCCTTATACTTACTCTTATATTACATCCCTTGTACTTACTCTTATATTACATCCCTTATACTTACTCTTATATTACATCCCTTGTACTTACTCTATTACATCCCTTCTACATACTCATATTAAATCCCTTATACTTACTTATATTAAATCTCTTATACTTACTCTTATATTACATCCCTTATACTTGCTCATATTAAATCCCTTATACTTACTCTTATATTACATCCCTTATATGTACTCTTATATTAAATCCCTTATACATACTCTTATATTCAATCCCTTATACGTACTCTTATATTACATCCCTTATACTCTTATATTACATCCCTTATACTTTTCTATTAAATCCCTTATACATACTCTTATATTACATCCCTTATACATACTTATATTACATCCCTTATATGTACTCTTATATTAAATCCCTTATACATACTCATATTAAATCCCTTATACTTACTCATATTAAATCCCTTATACATACTCTTATATTACATTCCTTATACGTACTCTTATATTACATTCCTTATACGTACTCTTATATTACATCCCTTATACTTACTCTTATATTAAATCCCAGAAGATCACTAATAACCCCGGAGACAGCAGAAAGGATCACTACACGCGTGATGTTGTAGATTAAGGGGTTCATTGTCAATCCATAGAGTCTAAAGGGCGTGTCCAGCTCCTACACGGACAGAGAGCGGAAATGAGATCCGAGGTTCCCAGCAGCCATCACTCATAGCTTGGCCGTTTTTTCGGCCTTGTGTCAGGGTGGCTGTTTCAGCTCTTACTAGTCAGCAGCTCTCAACAGAAAGCCCCACTCGCACCACCACCTACTTCCCCGCTATCTCAGCTTTTCCAGGGAGAGTTTACAAGTGATGTGAGTGGTGGCCGGATACTTAAAACTCTAGCAGACATTGACCATCCTCAGAGCTTGGGTCACGAGACCGCGAGAGCATGGCTGTCCTCCAGTCGTTAGCTCAGCGCTGAGAACGCACCTGGCCGAGCACCACTGATGTTGCTATCAGGTGCCATCCAGTCGGTCCCGGCCCATCGTGAGCCTGGGCTCTCCCTCATCCAAGACGTAACCCATCGGTCTAATGTAAATAGAGTAAACGTGTGTCCTGGTGGCACAGGGGGTTAGCACTGGGCAGACGCATCCCCTGGTCTGCTCCGGGGAACAGCAGAGGGGGTCTGCTGCCGTGAACGCATCGGACACGGGGCCCAGCGGAGCACTTTGACTCTGGCTCGTGACTCTGGCCTGATGAGTCAGAACGACTCCACGGCAATGGGCGTGGCTTTTTAAAATTTTTTTTTGCAGGTGGGGGTGGCCCGCAGGGGAGTGTGTTAGAAGATATCACTTACTTTCAACAACTTGGTAGATAACTTTAATACGTTATTTACGAGGGTGAGCTGTTCCTTCTTATTTGGCTTCTTTTCCATCTTAAGATATAAATTAATCTAAGGGAAAGAACAGGGATTAAGGTGAATGCTATGGGAGAAAAATGTATTGCATAAAAACGGGCAGATTTTGAAGGTCATGTTTTCATGTAAAATGAATTTTTAAAAAACAGCAGCTATTAATACCAAACATATCACACACCCTCTCCCTAATCAGTCACGTCTCTGCCAAAGAAAAACTATATAATGAAGAAAAAATGAAGCAATTTAAATATCAGAACAATGACAGATTAGTATTACTTACAACATAATTAGCATTTAAATTCCTTGAGTTAAAAAATACTATGTTCCACTCCTCTGGTAACCCCCCAGTCATCTAGTGTCCACATGAAAAATGAATGGAAGGAATAAGAGAGTGGCTTGTAACTTAGTAATACTTTATTTTATGCCGTATAAAAAGCATTCTCCATTATAATTCTAAGGTTATAGAAAGGTCGTCTCGTGTTATCAAATGTTTGTATTTAAAGCTTAGTGCTAAACTTGAAACAAAAAATAAATTTTAACTACTCACTGTTCATGAGAAACAGTTCTCAATCTATCCATGTACTGAAAAGGAAGTTTCTCAAAAATGAATTTTTCTAAATATGTGCTCTATGACTGATTCAGGAGAAATTCAAGAAACTTATTAAACACATTTACATTATAAGTTCTCTAAAGATCTAATACTTGATATAAAATAGGATATTTAAAGTCCCATTACCACAAATACACATACTGTAAGAGAGAGTACAGAAGACGTTCAACCTAATAGATTTTTAGTCTCACAGTCCTGGAAGCAGGTTGGGAAAATATTATCTCCAAATTATAAAGAAGAAGAAAATATCAGACTCAACCCTGACTCTTATTTCTCTCTTTCTCTCTCTCTCCATGTATTATACACACACAAATACACACACCTATATGTTTGCCTTTTAAATCCTTTATATGACTTTAAGTCAACATTGTTTTCATCTTTTGCAGTTTTGGCATGAGACCCTAAATCTGGATTTCCTAAATAAGCTACCCGTTAGACAATGCACCCTTGGTCGCCTATGACTGGACTATAGGGTTACATTCAGATGTGTTGTTACTGTTGAGACTGCGGCTTTGCCCTGTCCCATGCAGCGGCGGCACTGCAGACCTCCTCCAAGTGTGCGCCCTGCCGAGCGGCCCCACCAACGGGAGCGCACTGTGCTGTCACTTCACCGTGGGAGAGCCGATGCTTGTGGCAGGCATTCTTTCCGAGTTCAGTGAAACCCCTGTAGGTTAGGCACTGGGTTGCCAACCACAAGGTCAGCAGTTCAAACCCACCAGCTGCAGAAGATGAGGCTTTCTACTCCCACGAGTTACAGCCTCAGAAACCGACAGGGACAAGTGTATCCTGCCCGAGGAGGTCGCCACAAGTTGGCATCAACTCGGTGACAGTGGGTTGGTTTTTTGGTTGTTGATGTTTTTGAGTAAATGTTTGACTTCATAGAGACTTCTGGTGATACTTCTAGTTTACGGTTTAAAGATGGTCTCACAGCCATAGTTTCAGGGGTTCACCCTGCTTCCATGGCTCCAGAATGTCTGAAGTCCATGAGAACTAGAAGTTCCGCTGTGCATTTTCCCTACATGGGTCAGGGATTCTTCTATAGACTCTCAGATCAAAATGCTATAGACTCTCAGATCAAAATTAGTGAGCGCTAATGGGAGCCAAGCATTCTGGTCTCGGGGCAAAGGAAACATGTTCACAGAGGCAAACAGCCACCACACATTCCTTTTCAGCCTGACTCTCCGTCCTCATTGCACCAGGCAAACACAGCCCTTTTGTCGGGCCTTCAGTGGCTGATGGCGACCTTTTAAGAGCCCAAACATCCTGCTCGTAGCACTCCGACAGGACCACAGGGGCGGGCACCACCGTGGGTTTGAGACGTGAACAAACTAGGAGGCAGAACAAAGGCACGAACACATTAGGAGGCCAATAACTGGAATGTCCCATAAAGCCCTGACCCTAGACCCCCAAACCAAGGAAGCATATCCTCAGAACGGTGTCCACCTGGGCAGCTACTCTGGGCTGTTGCAAATGTATCTATCACATGGCTTTTGCCAATCCAACTTTTCACAGGGGTAGAGCTTGTTGATAAAAATACACTAAGTAGCTGGGCAATCCTACCCTTAATCAAAGATACCACATACATTTCACAGCATTTTTATGGCACGGGTGTGCCAAAGGGTCAAGAATGAATCATTACCTGTTCAGTGAGTAATATGGAAACGTTGCTGTATTTCTTATTGGTTTCAGACCCCAGCGAGGCCAGGCGCAGCAGGAAAAGCAGTAAAGCTGTTTCCCAGATCAAAAACTCCCAATTATAAGCATCATTAAGGAACGTTTTATGTCCTTGGAGAACCTGTAATAAGGACCCCCCCAAAAAAGTTTAGTTTTTCCTTATCGAATTACTTATACTCATCAATGTTTAAAAATTATTTGCAAGAAACCAGTAGTTTTTAAGACCCAAAACAGATGAATTTTAATGCTCAAAGAATTTTATCAGTTTAGTCAATCATTATGTATTTCTTTTTAAGTTTCTTAGATTTTTCTCCTTTTCGTGCCATGAAGTCCAAGCTGCTTTCCCCCAGTGTGCTCACTCATGATTACACACCCAGCATTGTTTAAAGCACTACACTTGCATCATGTCTCAGAGAACTCCCTTACACACCGGGCCGCCCCACTGCATCCCTCATCCAGGGGGATCCTCTCCGAGGATCAGCGCTTCCCTCCAGCGCGGGCTCCAAGTCACCCACAGGCACAGCGGCAGCCACTGTGACTGAGTTACTACATGGCCTTTCTGGTAGGAGCATGGACTTCAGCCTGTCACTGACAGACAGCTACAGTTCAGGGCAGTGTTTTGAAAGGTTCCTTTGACAATGAATGCCATGTGATAGTGTATCAGCTTGTCATTCCCATACAGTAAACCATGAAACAAAAAGGCAATACCAGCCAATTTCAGAAAATGAATGCCCAAGATACTGATCTTTATGCATTCCATTTCATTTATCACAAGTTGATTTTTCTAGATTCATACTTTATAATACATTGCATGTTCCAGTGATTGTTGGGGTTTGGGAACTTTTTCTCCTCATTTTGAGTTGTACCACATCAGCAAACGAAGGTCCCCCACAGCATTCAGCTCCACTCCTTTGAGGGGCAGCTCTGCCCTGTCACCCTGAGAGTGCCTTCCAAACTCAGGGGCTTGTTTTCTGGGACTCTGTAAGACAAATGCCCACTGCTACTCATAAGGAAGTTCACCAGGCCCTTCTTCCTACTCTCTCTGAGTCTGGACGCTCCAACGAAACCAGGGCCAACCCTGCTGGCATTTGCAATACCGGCAACACAAGCCACCGGAGTACAACTAGCTGAACGCGGCGTGGTGGAAAATAGGATGGAATTACTAAAGCACAAAGACTTCACTACCGCTTATTACTTGCAGCAGAGATCTAGCCAATCAACGGAGGGGAATGACCCTCTTCTCAGACAAATCAGGCCTGAGAGGAAGAAGCTGAGCAAAGGGGACAGAAGTCTTCCAGGAAGGACACCTGACACACCTCCCTGCAGTGGGAGGCAGGTAAGCTGGCCCAGCAGAAAGGGTGTGAAGGTGGTGTGAAAAGACAAGGCATTACTGAACAGTGAGAAGGAAAAATATAAAACTTAGGAGCAACTTCTCTCTCCCATTCTGGGCCATACAGCATGTAGACTGTGATGTGATGCTGTGAGGGTAGGCCTTGGACTCAAAGAAACTGGCTAAGAAAGTGTTAACGATTTATGAGTGGCAGCAGCGTCCAGCAGTCAGAGATCAACAGTCAGTCCAGGGATGTCTTCCTGGGGCAACGGCTGTCGGCTAAGGAAAGGGGAGAACCCCAAAAGTTTCAAAAAGCCAGAGCCCAAGATGCCAGGTATAGACTGACCTAGCTGTCTCGAGCTTCGGCTCTTGGAAAAAATGGAGAGAAAGGAGGAGAAGGGGGAGGGGCTCAAACCAGCCACTGTTCTGTGCAAGTCTTCCTCCAGGAGGGAGGTCAGCACTGCTCAGGCAGAGGGAGAGCCAGGAACACTGGCGTCCACGCACTGCTCAACCTTCCCTACTACACAGGCTCAATCTGGAAGGTTCCAGGGGCAAGGCAACCCTAGAGCTTGGGTTTCCGGGTCACTGGGGGGTAGAGACTGGGGCTCGATTCTTAGTGTTCAATAACAGAATGAGAATAGTAAGTTACTCCTTGGGCTGCAAACCGTAACATCAGCACGTGCCAGCCCCACAGTCGCTCTGAGGGAGAAGGTGAGGCTTTCTGCTCTTGTGAAGATTTACAGCCTCAGAAACCCTCCGGGACAGTTCTACCCTGCACTGCTGGGCCCTGAACATTTGCATATACTCAACATATTTATAATAAATGTACACGCGATCAACGAGCCCTTTCCCGCTTCACTGTATGCTTTTCATCGCTGCGTGTTCTCCCCTCGCTCCACGGCCCACGTTTCCAGTGCTCAGCGGCCAGAGGCGGCTAGTGGCTGGAGGGCTCTCTCCTCCCGAATGCTCCTTCCATGACCATTGATATTAAAACAGCGTATTCATGTGGAATCTTCAATACAAGTGATAATGTGTGGCGAAGAGGCTTCATAAAATTCCCGGGGAAATGCCGCTTTTTAGTTCCATTTGCCAGAAACTCTTTGAAGCCTCCTCATCTAACACGACTTATCAGTCAACAATTCTCAACTGAAATTAAGTAGAGTGATCGTTGAGTCTTAAAGGATTTCTAAACTACCTTTACAAGGTTAGAGAAATTAACCAGTAACCGAGATAGCAAAAGAAACAAACACGTCACATTCAATCTGTACATCTAGTTTGTGTCTTTGTACCAAGCGCGCAGTGAGCTGGGTGGAAATGTGGGCGACGCCCTCCTCCCTAAGGTCGCATTCACGGAAGCGCACACGCCGTGCGTTACCTGCGCACAGCAGATGAAAGCAATGGAAAGCGTCAGCAGGAAGACCGAGGACACAACCACGTCGACCGAGCGCTGCGGGCCCCGCCTCTGTGGAGGGAGACGCCGTTAGGGTTTCCGTCCGCGCGGTCGGTCAGCACTGGTTCTCACATCAACACTCAGAAGCTTAGATCTTCTGGGTGGAACATGAATGCTCACAGCCCAGCGCTAAGGAGTTTCCAGGAGAACTTTAAAACATCCCCCAAGGTCAAGGGGAATGATGCAGCACCTATCACGCTGGCCCAGGAAATTTAAATGTCGTGTGCCCTCTCTAAGCAAGATGGAGGGTGGCAGGCTGGCACTACGGGTTAAGCTTCGGCTGCTAACCACCAGGTCAGCGTTCACCGTGCAGTTGCTCGTTTGGACAAAGTGCTCCTGGAAAGATTTAGTCTTGGAGCCCTCGAATGGGAAGGGGCCGGGCGGCAGTGGGTGATGAGCTCTGCCGACAGTTCACCTCTCACTGAACTTCCAGAAAGGTTACTGGGCACTGTGAGCCTGGCCGGCCTGCTGGCGGCTTCCAGAAGCATCGATGAGCTCAAATGCATTCTATCGTTAATCAAACAAAACTCACCTTTAGATAGGAACGAAGTGATAACCATATCTTAATGTTCTCCACCTTTTTAAGTCTGAAATGAGGTATTTCATATTTCTTGGCTTTCCTGGCAGACGTAATATGACTGAAGAGTTTTGCAAATAAAAATCTCTAGAGGTTAAAAATAGAAACCATAACATAAAATGCATGTTAGACTGTGTGTGTTTATGTAACTGCAAGCAGATTAAACAGGATGAAATTCTAATTTGTGATCACGGAGACAGCAGTGAGCAAATGTGGCAGCTCGTTCCTGACTCGGTTGCTTCGAAGGCACGTCAGACACTGCGTCCCGCCATGGGGCGCTCACACGCACAGCACGGCATGTACTCTGGAGGAAGACCTCTGAGACGCCCCAACTTCACCAACACAAAATGCTTATTCAGGCTTCCGGTGCCCCACGCCCAACCCCAGGGACATCACTACTCAGAAGCACATTTCTTTAATATCTCTTCAGTACTATGCCCTCAATCCATAGCTCTTGATCAGATTTTAAGAGATTTACATCTCACCTGGCCATCGTTCATGAAAACATGACCCTGCTGAGAATTTCCTTACATGCTACAACGTCAACAAATGGCAGCAGCACACTGGGGTGCAGACACCCCCAGTCTACACGGGCCCCTCACTGGCTCAGTCTCCCCCTCCTACCCATGAGGCTCTGCAAACGTCCAGCTTGCCAGACGCCATTTGTAGTTCCAAGTGGAATGTGTCACACCTGTAAAGTCAGTTAGCACAAGTGGGCCCCCCGCGGACGCGCTGTCCACACGCCCTTTGGGAGGGAAAGAAAAAGGGGGGAAACAGTGCAGGGGAATAGCCTAACAGATGGCAGACTCGCCTCTTCTCTTTCTACTGACCTGTTTATATGTTCTCTCGGCCACACACATCATAAAAAAAAACATCCACGTAAGACACAGCCGTTCAAAAAAGTTGATCGCGGACAAAACAATAATAGGTACAACTGGTGGCGCCCCACAGAAGAGAGCCAGGATCTCCTCGGCAGACACGGACGTCAGCTGGTCAAGGCTCTTCTCGCGGACGAGGCGATGCACAAACGGAAACAGGGCGAGCGTGACGGTGACGACGTTGCCCAGCATCTGGTAGCCCACTCCTTGCTGATAGGCATTGACCTGCGAGCACATCGAAAACGCCGTCAGCACTGCAGAGCCAACCGGGCTGGTGCATCACCACACCCATCGGTAAAACCAGATGAGCAGAAACGTGGGTGAAGGGAGACGTCGGGCAGTGTAAGACGTGACAAAATAATAATGACGTATAAGCTATCAAGGGTTCAAGAGGGAGGAAGGGTAAAAATGAGCTGATACCAAGGGCTCAAGTAGAAAGCAAATGTTTCAAGAATGATGAGAGCAACAAATGTACAAATGTGCTTGGCACAATGTATGTATGTATGGATTATAAGAGTTACATGAGCCCCTAATAAAATGATTTAAAAACAAACAAACATTGAGAAGTACACATTTCTAATGCCAAACGAACAAATGTGTGACTTTTAGAACTTATTCCTGTAGGCTTGGATGAGATAAGGAATATTTGTGAAGTATTACGAAGCACTTGGCCATGCTAACACAGAGTGTACCAAGTGTGAAGAATTAAAAACACCACCAAGTACAAAATGTAACTGCGTGCGCGTGTGCGTGCGCGTGTCTGAAAAGCAGAGCCGTCCTGCTTTGACTCCTAGGTCGAGGCAGCAGACGAGCTGCAAAGCCCGCGAGCTTCAGGCCCTCACCCTGCTCATGATGACGCCGCTGATCTCCAGCACAGACATGTCCATCTTTTTGCACTCGCTCCCTTCCCAGATGATCGCACTAACTCGGTCAGAGGCAGGGCTCGAGTTCTGGAGCCAGAATAAATGGTTCTGAGAAGGAAAAACAGGTACAGCAGTTGGCACCACTCCTTTCTCTCTTCCCGCCATCAGTGTCCCCCCCGCCCCGCTCCCGGCTATGTTTCCCAGGCATCCTCGCCCCTCCTGCACACAGAGCATCACTCCAACGGCCTCTACTGTGCTGATTTCGGATCCTTGTTCGCACCTGGGTAGAAACTAAAGGTCTTTTCTCGTGAGGAGTGGTAGGGCTCTGTGACCACCCAGCCTGCTACAGCTGTGGCCCAGAGGCCACGCGGCGACTGAGAAGGGAAGGCGGCCGGCCACCACAGGACAGCCTGGGAGCAGTCACCGGTAGGTAGGAGCTGTGCTACCAGACCTCACAGACCACGCTGTCAGCGACTGAGCAGTTGAGCCTTTCTCTAGGAAGCAGGGCACAGTGCAGCAGACACCCACGAGGAGAAGGCCACACTCGGGCCCCGCCACACCCTGCCTAATTCGTCAAGCACCGTTCAAGTTCCATCGCCCCCGCAGGGTCTACTTTGGCATCATGAGCCTCGCGAACGGAGCTATTCTCGCAAATGAAGACGCCTCGCCATCCACACCAGCCTAGGCAGCATCAAATACATGCAGCTTCTAGAGTGCCCTTGACTTACTTCCTACATAATCACTTTGCCTCCAAAATAAAGTTTCTAGAAAAAGACCAAATGGTGTAATTTGGTCTTTCAACTACAGTGCTTAGCATAATGTCAAGCATTTATTGTTCTACTCATGGATCCGATGTTATCCAACAATTAAGCATCTACTTTGTAGGATGCAGGAACCCTGGTATTGCAGTGGGTTACACAGTGGGCTGCTGACTATGAGGTTGGGTGTTCAAAGCCATCACCTACCCTGGGGAAAAGCTGGGATGTTCTACTTCTGTAAAGATTTTAAGTCTCGGAGACCCATCGGAGAGGTTCTATCTTGTCCTATCGAGTCACGGTGAGTTGCAACCGACTCGGTGGTAGTGAGCTTGTGTTGTGTGTGTGTGTGTGTGTGTGTGTGTGTGTCTGGTTTAATGCAGCACACACTGTGACTGTCATGGAGAATGAAACAGATGCGATCCTTGCCATCAATTTCACAGATTTCTGAAGGAGAGCATGAAATAGCTGCTACTCAGCATGGTAAGGGAAGTATGACTGAGGCGTCATCAGGAAAGCCCTCCTAGAAGAAGTAAATTCAAACCAAGACTCGAAGAATAAAAAGGAATACATCTTCGAGGGAAGTGTGAGAAGCCAGTATGTTACAGGCCGGACGGAGAGGGAGGCAGGTACATTTCAGAAACATGAAGCTCTAATCAAGTTAAAGAGCGCCACGCAAACAGCAGGGAGGGAATGGCCAGAGATGAGAGTCTCTCCGAGCAAATAAAGGATCAGAAGCAAATGATCCACAAAGGAGGGAGGCAATGGAAGACTTTTCAGGGGAATGATATTAACAAATGGATGTTCTAGAAGCATCCCGCTGGCTAGTGAGGACAACGCAGGAAGGAGGACAAGCGTAGAGATGCCATCTTAACCACCCAGATGAGAGATGTTAATGGGCTACACAACCCAGGGGGAAACTGGAGGGCAGGTTCAGCGAGTTAGAGAGCAGAATCTGAGGACTCAGTGGAAAGGTGGTGCAGTCAAGGTCTCCGTCTCTGACGTGGCATTCAGGGCTGGGTGGTTTTAAGGGACGTGGGAAACAAAAGGAGCAGGTTGGGCACCAGGGATTGGAAAATAATGAATCTCATTTGGCATGGGGAGTTTATCGTGTTATTCTCAGAAATGCCTTAAAACGATACTGTGAATACCCAAACGGCCCAAGAGCATCATGAGGCTGAGGGGCAGGAATGAAGGTTGATGTCGTTTAGAAGAACCTTCAGACTGACGGTAAAGAATATTTAGATTCACTAAATATTGGGCGAAACACTGGGGCATGCAACAGATCAGCAAGGGGAGCAAAGCAATGAAGTCCCTGGGGAATACCAAACATAAACTTTGGGGCCAGGGCATGGCACCCCATCAGACTCGACCAGAAAACACTCCTGAAGGCCACCAAACATACCTGTAACTATTTATAGGCTTTTGTTTTTTCGTCGTTGGTTTTTGTTGTTTTGTTTTGCTCTGTCTTGTTTTTGTGCTTAATCACTGCATGTCTATCTGGATAAGACAGGCAGAATAAACAATCTGGAGGAGAAAACAACAGGACTAACAGTTCCAGGGGGACACAGGAGGGGGGGGGAGGAAATGGAAGGGGGGTGTCAACCAACCCAGGGATAAGGGAACAACGAGTGACCTAAAATCGATGGCGAGGAGGGTGTAGGAAGCCTGGTGGGGCTTGATCAAGGGCAGTGTGGCCAAGAGGCATTACTGAAACCGTATCAAGGCTGAACATGATAGTGGGACAAGAAGAAAGTAAAAGGAAATAGAGGAAAGAACTAGGAAGCAAAAGACATTTATAGAGGTCTAACTACAGGCATTT